CACATGCTGCACTGCTCAGGGCAGGCTGCTTCTTAAACAAGAAATAATGTAGCCACATCCAGGCAGTGCCTTCAGCAGGCCAATGAATATCACTATGGCAAAGTGCCACTTTCTCCCTGCTAATTAGCCTGCCCCTGGTGCCACACGGACATGGCTGTATAAGCGGCCCACCTGGAGGAGCACAGTGCACTTGATCTCCCCGCTCTGGCACACAGTCAGCTCTACGACAGCCTAGCTCCTGATTTGACTCCAGTGACTTAAGCCACTGGTGGGGGGCTCATAGGTTGGGATATGGAGTGGGATGTTTGTGCTGGAAGTTTTGACCAGTGATTTCGGACCATGGAACAAGGCCCTACCCTGAAGTCCCACGGTTAAGCTATCCCAGCCCAAGTCCTTTGAAAACAGGCCCAGGGATGGATTCATAAGGCTGTTATGACCGTGAGTGAATACAAAATATTCACTCCCCCATTCTATTCTCTCTCAGCCTGGTGTAAATCAGGAGTAATGCCACTGGGACCAATTCTCCACTGAAGACTGGGGGGGATACCAGTGTACCTCTTGTGTGAAGGGAGAATCAGTCTGAAGGCTCCAAACAGCCTTGTAATGTGTGTGCTGCATAGTTTGTTCCCAGCTCTCCAGTGCTGCTTCCCTCTTTCAAGACATTTGTCTCCTTTTAATGTTTATCACTGTAAGCCTCAGTGAGGCAGCCTGATGTTGTCTGGGGACTAGGCTAATTGCACTGGAGATGGATATGAGAAAGGGAGGAAAAATAGCCATGCTTTGCAAAATCCCATTGGCCAGGTTTTTTTGGTTTGCAGAACAAGACTCCAAAGTCAGGGAGCTCCAGTCCTGATGGCTACTAATGACTCCACTTTGGGCCCATACTTTCTCTGTTCTTTCCTGTGATAGATTATCTTGACACTCATAGGTCCTGCTGCTCTGGGAATCCCCAGACTCGATTGTACCCACCATAATTATGGTGCAGACTGGTCCAAGGAAACTCCATCTAAAATTCCTATCAAGTTTCAGCCAGCAGCTAAAGAGAAAGAGAGAAGTCCTATTAGTAAAACTCAGGTATTGAACACAGGGTACAGCCTTTATTGCCTAATTTAGCTGCCTGGACAGTGGATACCATTACGAGAGAAGTTGGTGGCACAGGCACTACCTTGTATGCTCATCCTCCATCTAAGCTAGTGGGGGTTACACATGGAGTAAGGTCAGACACCAGAAACAGAGGAATCACAGGTGTGAAGTGGGGAATTTTAGAAGGCTGTATGCTTCACATTGAGTGGGACTGAGTCCTGGTAAAAATATCCAGGGCCCCTTGCTTCCATATCCTGAAAGAGGCAGTGGGTCTGATGGTTTCTGGATGGGTACATTGGTTATCAAGCAAAAGCCAGAAAAAAACAGGCAATGCATTCTTAGCCTGGGACAAAGGGAGAAATTTCCATGAATAGCAAGAACAACCTGCTTGGATTCAGAGTGGGAAGTTGGGATCTTAGACATGAGGAAGAAATGGTGCCCCAGGATGGGAGTTTTGGGAGATCAGAGGCCTAGGACATAGTGCGAGGAAGGGGAAACTGGAATAATGCTATGAGCTCACAGGAAGCTTCCTGTCAAAGTGTCTTATATCAGCATTTACCACCTGTATGGAGTGCAAGAAACATCATGCATTGTCTGTTTTCTGTCTGCAATCCATGTCAGCCCAGCAGAGGCATTAGATCACAGCAGGCAGAGGAGGAAGCCTGCTGACTGCAACTGTAATGTGCAAGATGCGTGTGTTCCCGGTCCACTGAGCTACTACCTGATCCATAAGGTGGGTGAGGGTCTGCTAGTGATCCCAGTTAAAGGAGCTGCTCCATGGTGGAGGCTAGCATGTTTAGGTTCAGACCCCACTGCTGAGACCCCATGGGGGTCATTATCCAGGCATGCAAAACACTGACCACCTTTTAAGCAGAAGACTTTGCAAAGGCTCCCCTGTGCCAGGCCAAAGGTCCCCACCTCCCCCTTGAACCCAGCACCTACTGATAAGGAGTTCCATAACCACTTGGGAAACTGCTTGCAGAAACTGTCACAATCACAGCTGGGAATCCATAGCCAAAGGCATACATGCATGTCTTCATGTGTCTGCCAGCACCAGAATAATTTGCAACCTTCAGGTTCCTGACAACGAGGAAAAGATTCACTCCTTCCATGAGCATCCAAGCAAAACAAGCCAGGAAGAGATAATGCAGAACACCAGCAATTATGGAACACAGGAGCTGGAGGAGGAATGAGAAGTCAGTGTGGGTTTGTCTGAAGGGAAGAGTTCACTTCTCCCATGCTGGCTGGCTACCAACCACCTGGCTAGGAAAATATTCCACCAGTGTAAAATGGTCGCTCGTGGAAAAACATGAAATTTGGCCAGTTGGCTCACAGGGATCAGAGCAGACTTTGGGTCTGGCCTTGTTTCATCCAGGTTCCCACCTGCTGAGGTCTGCATTGCAATGGAATCAGCTCCAAGAGGAAACCCAGCCCAATGTCAGCTCAAGTTTGCTGAACTCACTGAAGCCATGGGGTTGCAATGAAAACTGTAACCAGCCCAATTCCTCCTTCACCCACCTGGGATAAATCAGGAGAAAGTCCCCTAACATCAGTGGAGAATACTCTGGTATAAAGTACAAACAGAATCAGGCCAGCTGGGAGCTCAGCCTCAACCGGGGAAGACACCATGGCCAGACCTGTGCTCTGGGGAAGCCTGCCTATTGTACCTTGAGGTAAGTTTGGTTTATTCCTGCTAAGAAGATAGCATCAGCCAGGAAGAGGAAAATGCTCAGCTGCAGGTGGATGAAGTTGCTGCTGGTATTCTTGACGGTGCGAGAGAAGAGGAAGGTAACAATAGCCAGGATGAGGCAGATCAGGGACACGATCAGCCCAACGTAGCTGATCATAGTGAGAGGGATGTTGTCCTGTGACAAAGAAGAGTTAAAGTCAGATCCTGGGCCTTCTTGCCACTCACTTGCATTTGTTTCCCATTGACCTCCCTGGGGATCAAAGATCTTCAGTGTCCATGATCCTAGCTTGCTGGAGAACCTACTGCATCCTGGTGTAGATGCATGAGGTAGCCATCTCACAGCTTATTGGTTACCCACAGAGTGAATCAGGTGCCCATTATAAGGCTAGCTATAGTTTTTCCCTTTCGCTAAGGTGACGGAGACTCAGGTTTTGGCGCTGAAGTTTGACTGATTTTCAGAGCTGCATTCCCCCCTGGAGTCAGCTGCAGTTTAAGAGCGAGGGAATCATTGCTTTCACAACATGCTGTCTGAAACAAATGATCATTTTCTTAAACCCCAGCCTTCCCCATTTCTGTTACACTGACACAATGGCCGTGATCTAAATTAGAAAGGATCTCACAAGACTCTGACCAGCTTGAGTGATTCAGCAAGTCATGTCATGTGTGCTATTCCACCCAGAAGCAAGGAAGATAGTATACAAGGCAGTGGTTCACTTCACAGTACTTTGCTCAGGTCTCTTGGGGGGGAATACACCATGAGTCATTAGTACAGTTTATTCAGTCTATTTGCAATTCATTTATAAGGCCAGATCCCCTTGGCTGATGTTAATTCCCATACTTCTACTGCCTTCTTAGTGTTTAATGGAACTATGCTGCTTTACATCAGCTGAGGATCTGACTCATTGCTTGCTTTATTTTAATGGCAGAATGGCAAGGGATTTCCCCAGATTATTAGATACAGTGGTGTGTGTGTCATGAGGAGGATCAGGGCCCCGACCTCATGTAGCAATGTTAACTGCCTTCAGAGGCATTTATCTCTTTGCCAGCTTTGCTCAGCTCATCCTTTGCTCCAAGTTTTCCTATGTTACAGTGCCCTCCAGTGGGGATATGCACTAGATACCAGAACCAGGTCTACATTTCAACATGCCTTGTGGTAAAACATTTACAATTGTAATATAGATGCAAGACAATGTACAGACTGATGATCTACCAGTTACTGCAGTGATCTTTATCCCCATTAATAAAAACAGGAGTTCGCAGTCCCGACAGGCTGTCGATCAGGTTTTCAATTATGCAAGCTGTGTAATGGACATTGTTTGCATTTTCACATGTTCTTGGTTTATATTATGAAAGGACCCCAGAATAAGCATCACTGTCTGATAACTTGACTAAAGTGTGGTTCTGCTATTTGAAAATGGCCATGCCTTGTGTATCTGGATATGTCCACACTGCAGCTACAGAAGTGATGTCAGCATGGTTGACTGAAATCTCCACTAGCGTTAAGCTAGCTAGCTCAGGGGCTGCTAGCAGCCTAGGCACAGCACCACAGGGCTCAGTGAAGGATAATTCACCTGCTCAGTTTGCAGGTCAAAATATATATTTCTTTAACAAGATCCCTATGGACTTGGCTTAGCATCAAGAAGCCTGGGTAGGTTCTACCTGGCACGTCCATCACTTGCACTTTTGCAGCTGGAATTTAGATATCAGGTCTGCTGCTGATGCAGGAATGAGAAACAAGTTGTGTTTACACCCCCTGACTGCATTGACTTTGCAGGACTAATTCAGGAGCAAAGAGCTGCAAAACCTGATTTTAATAAGCAGGGGAAAGAGCCTATTCTTATTTCTCTTACAATGCCACTTAGAAATCTCAACTAAGATCAGTGTCCCATGGTGCTAGGTGCTGTACAGATTGATGGGAAGAGACAATGCCTGCTCTGGAGAGTTAGTCATCTAAATAGATAAGACAGACAAAGGGTGGGAAGGGAAACACAAGGGGAAAGTGACTGGCTTAGAGGTGACACAGTCCCTATCAGAGAGTGAGATGACAACCCTGCAATTCTGATTGCTAACTTGCTTGCCTAACTCAGCAGCTCATCACATCACTTCCCAGAACTGACTGCTAACACGGTGTCCTGTGCACTTGGTGACTTTCTGGCCTCAATCCACATTTTAAGGTCTTCTGGTTTAACGTTGAACTATCATTTCCCTTCACATTGCTCTTTATGGACTGGAAACATCCTCAGTACTGGTCTTTATGGCTTAACTAGGTGCTGCACCTGAAAAAATATCTAACATGGCTATTTTTATGGCCATTCTCCTTGCACAGATCACTCTCATTGCCAAATCTTCATTCCCATTTTAAAAGGAACTAGATCAACCAATATAAAACAGACGACACGTTCAGGATGACCATTGGCTGTGGAACAGTAGCCCTTAAGAAGGTAGCATTAGCTAGCAGTAACCATGCAGTAGTATCCAAATTAAGAGAGTAGTAAAGCACTGGAACAGGTTACCCAAAGAGGTTGTAGACTCTCTATCCTTGGAGGTGTTTAAGACCCACATAGACAAAGACTTGGCTGGGATAATCTAGTTGGGGATGGTCCTGCTTTTTGAGCAGAGGTGACCCCCTGAGGTCCCTGCCAACCTTAATTTTCTATGATTCTTATAACATTTAAGCAACTTGCCTGGGTCACACAAAAAGCCTGAGATACTCAAACAGGACCATAAGTGCTCTAAGCACTAGGCAATCCTGTCTCTCTGGTGCATTGCTGGTGGTGCTGCTAGAACTAAGGGTTGGCATAAGCCCTTCAAACTTGGCAGTTCATAACCCATTTCCTCCCTTGGGATTGAAGGGTTTCCCACAGTACAAATGGAGGGCCTCAAACACTAGTCTCACAACCTGTTGTGGGTTAGAGGCAAAAGCCTCGAGAAGCAGTTGTGGGCACGATCCTGAGAGGCAGCAGGGGGACAGAGCTTCTTGTACGCAGAGCTCACAGAAGTGTCAGACTTGGGAATATCTGACAGCTGTTTGATAGTTTCTATGTTCAGGAACACAGCACACTTGAAAATAGACAGGACCCCACCAAAGCAGATACCCAAATCACATCATTGATTTCAACAGGCCTATGTGCTGACTCAACCAAAACAACAGCATGCAAAGCAGAGGGCCCAGCAATCTATGGACCGGTGCTTCCACAGACATGTGAAGCCAAGCCCAAAGACCTCCAGTACCTCTATGGAACCAGGTGCCATCAGTACGGCGAAGCTGGCCAGGTAGTGACAGCTGCACTGTGAGTGAGTGATGTTGGAATGAACGTGTTGGCAGCCCTGGGAGGTCCAGGCACCCCTTGTACCTTCTGGGTTCCAGTGGACACAGGTGACTTCGTCCTGGGGGAACTTGTCCTGCAAGGGTTTTCAATCAGAGACAGAAAGGCGGCTGAGACTCAATTAAATGAAAGAGGAGCCTTTAGGAGAATACTGACTTCAGGAACACAGCACAGAAAGGGATGCCCTGGGGCTGCGAGTCCAGTCCAGGATATAAACTGAGCATGTGGATTCCCAGCCAGGGGACTGCAGGAAGCAGTGACTTTGGGAAAAGGGGGAAGGGGCTCTACCCACAGTGTAAGGCATGATGCAAATGACTACAGTTAGCAGATGTTAGGCTGTATTAATGGATGCCTGATCTGACCTGCTGCAGCTGAATATACATTCCTAGGATGTGCTGAGACCTTCAGATATGTCCCTGTTTTCAGGCGATGGAAGAGCATGACTCCACTAAGAGCTAATTGCAGCCAGCAGAAGCAGGGAGCTAGTATGATGTACCCTCATTAAAGCTTACACCTCAGCACACTGGCACTGGTTGAAGCAGCAGCATAATTAAGGCAGGGCAGATCCAGTTGCCAACTTGGGGGGACGGGGAAAAGGGTGCAAAACTAATATCTGCCACTGCCACTGCATAACTGTACCAGTCGCGTGGTGGCAGCTGGAAGTCACCAACCACCCTCGTGTATCAGGCTGCCCTGGGCACCCAGCTGCCTTGTTATGGCTCTGGGGTCCAGACAATGGGTAAATACATGAATATATCATTTTAAAGCACCATAAATAATTTGTATTTAAGGATCTCAGTTGAACGTTAATATCTTTTTTTCAAAGAGCAAAAACGAGGCACAGAGCAACTAACCAACCTGTTAGAGGTCACATTTGAAAGCATGATAGACCCTGAAGGCTTTCTAAACACCAGGAGGTGCCCTGCCCTTTAAGCCACATCAGTTCCTATTTTCCGGGCATTCAAATGTGCTGTCGTCTGAGGAAGTTAAAACTTAGGCAGGAAAAAGTATCACGGGGTGAACAAGCATCAGGAGAGCGAGAAGAATAGGAATCAAAGCCAAATGTATCTGCTAGGATCAGTTAAGACCTGACAGGAGTGAATTTGAGCTGTACTAGTATGCAGCCAAAAGGGGCATGGTGTGAAAGTAGGTAAGGCATCAGAGACAAATGTTCAACCCTTGCTTCAGATCTCCACTGACGGTCACTCCCTGCCAGTCCAGCTGTATGGGGACACCTAGTCATTTGGACTAGGACCATTTTGTGATATGAGCCATATCCTGCCATGGAGAACAGACATTTGTGTATCTAGCCACAGTGGCCCAATGGGCTGCCTAAGGGCAGGGTGAGTTTTGACCTTGCAGCCCAGCCCTAGAGATGCAGGATGTTTGACTTAGCCCCTTCTCCGGAATTTGAATTTTCATATTAATATCAAAAGTAAGTGCACCCAACCTAACAGATACCTCCTACCGCAGGAAACCCACCAAGAGGAAATGAAAACAGCCTGTAGCCACCTTCTCCTAGATCCCAGGGGATGGGGCAGGAAGGGTGGGGAAGACAGGCAGACAGGCTGAAGAGGGGGAAAGGGTTGGATGTGCTTCTCTAGAGAACAGCTTCAAGGAGCCTAGAAAAGGGATGGGGCCTGAGCTCACCCAGGCCCCTGTCAGGCAGCAGCCGCATGGGGTATGGGTTGAGGGAGACAGCATATACAAGTGTGGCAGGAGAGACTCTTGACCCAGCAAGAGGCTAAAATAGATTGTGAGAATAAGGACAGTGGAAACCAATCTCCATATTTTTTTCTGCTTCCAGTCTCACGGAGGAGAGATTCCCTCAGCCCACTACACCAGCCACAACTTCCACCTTTCCATGCCAGGTGAGAGGCAGTCCATGATCCACTTTGCGCAGGGAATCCTATGGCTTGCAAGGCCAAGTGGCTTCTACTACCTAATAAAACCATGCCAGTGGGATCCCAGCACCTGCTGCCCCTTTCATTTCTGGGCTGAAGTTACTTCCCCTGGGTACTTCTCCAGTAGCTTCCCCACTTCCATAGCCTTTCCCCACCATGGGGCATGAGCAGACCCCAGATAAACAGAGAATCTTGCCATAAACTACCACTGCTCTGAGTGGCCTGTGTCAGCATGCATTTAAAAAAGGGTCTAAGACAGAGGTCCCATCTAGGTGGGGACCTAAATCAAAAATCCCTCAGGGTTCCCCAAGGGCTGGGTAGACAGGCCTGGTTTAAGTTATTAATATGCCATTCATAGGAATGGAGCAGATGAGCTAGGCTGATCATGACTTCTCTGGTCCCGAGTCACACTAGTTACTTACCCTGGTATGACAGAAGGTGAGGTTGACAGGACTGGAAACATTTCTTCTCTGTGTGCTGGTAGCAGCGCTTACCACTTGAGAGTTCACGTGAGCATACTCTTCCCTACGCAGATTTTTCTCCTGAAAATACTGTATTCCCAGAACTGACTCCAGATCCGTGTAGGATATAAAAGCCACTGCGGCAGATTCTGCAAGTATGAGCACAGGTGGAAATGAGATGTGGAGGAGGAGATGCTGAGGTTGTTTGGAAAAAAAAAAAATTGGGGGATTTTTTTTTTTAAAACAGAAGTGATAATTGGGCACCTACACCTTTTAAAAATGGATGCGTTTTCGTTCATCAATAAACGTTTTCAACCAAAACTATTTTTTCCTAAAGATGCCATTTAATTGAAAAAGCCTTTTTTATATGGAAAGAAAACCAAGGGGGATTTTCCACTAGTTCTCAGTAAGAAGATACCTAAGTCTCCCCAAGGTTCAGACCACTCAAAATTGCTGTAAACTTCAGTAGTAGCTGGAATTACACACGGTGCAGCAGACACTCAGCACCTACAATGACTGGGCTTAGGCAAAAGTATAGAAGACAATGCTCAGGGATCTATTTGTGGATTTAAGGGCAACAGAGGCCATTAGATCATCAGGTCTGACATCCTGTATAGCACTGACTAGAGAATTTCACCCTGTTAAGCTAGACTGTGCCCAATAACTTGTGACTAAGTCAAGTACATCACCTACAAAGTCAGGCAATCTTGAGCTGAAAGCCTCGAAAGCAGCTGAGAATCAAGAGATTCCACTGATAGTTTGGGGGATTAAATCCCCTCATTGTTAAAAAACAATGTATTCTTTCTAATTTGAATGTGACTGGATTTAACATCCAGCCTTTGATTCGTGCCTTGTCTTTCTCTGCTACATCAAGAAGCTCTTTAATATCTGGTCATTTTCTTCTTACGAAGATACATTTACGTGTTCACTAGAAAAAAGGAAATCAGAATTTTCATAGAAAAACCCCATTAATGGCCTGAGCCAGATCCTCATGAGTTTTCCATTGACTCTGACAGACTTTTGAGCTTTCTCAAGTGAAGCTCATTCCCATGCAACATGTTTCAAAATACTTAATTCTAGGGTCAATTTGCATTGAAGTCAATAAGGTTTGGGTTTTTTTCCCCACCCCTAACAAGCATGAAGTAAAAACTCAGCAGGGAATTTTAGGGCATGGGTCTTAAGGGGAACAGAAATTAAAGGCCTTCTAAGGAGTGAAATGTCTGGACCTGTTCCTGGAGAATCAATCAGTATTGAGAGTGATGGACAAGGTCTAGTAATGTTGGAGGATTAACACCAGAAGAAGCCACAAACATTGAAACACTCATTTCATTATTGAATAACATTTTACTAAGTCAATAGCAAGGTGTGGCCAATCTTATGCAATGGGTTAGATTCTGTTACACATGTAGGATCAACATCATTGCTTATGCCACTTAATGCCAATGGGCAGTAAATTACCCCACAAGGAATTGCATGAACCACATAGCACTGTTCACAGGGCACATCTATATGTGCATTAATACCCAGTAATTGATGCTACTGTACAGTAGCACTGATGCATATCTTTTAAGTGCCACTACTGTGCAGTAAACTAATTCTACTGAGCATTAGCATTAGCATTAGTACATCATGGCTTTCACCATGATGTACTAATTAGTACATCATGGCTTTCACCATGATGTACTAATGCACAAGAGATTTACTCTGTGGGTGCATCCACACAAGATGCTAAAAGTGCAGTAGACTAAGAGCCAACTGATCACAAAATAGATACCACTAGGCTTTGCCCTATATGTCTGAGCTACAAGGCCTGGTCACCACCATGATCAATGAGCTGTTGGGACACCTCAGCGGTACCTTGGCTATTATCTTCAGTGATGTCAGCGCAGTCAATATCAATGGTGTTTTTCTGAGAGTCAAGTCTGAGAGCATTAGTCTGCGAGGTACAGTTATCAACAAGCTTTGTCTGGACCACTATAAAGGAATAAAGAAATGGGTTTTGTGCAGATACAAAAGAGAAAGTTGTGCCTGCTCTAAATAACTTCACAGCAGCAATATCTCTGTTCCTGTAACAGCCTTAAAGGGCAGGGTAAGAAAGGGGAAGGATATTCTTGTCAAACCCAGATGCAAGAGGAGAATGTGAATACATGCACACACATGTCCATGCTTGCACACAAGCACCTGCACACAGCATTTACCTCCAGTATTAAACAGTTGGATCTAAATCCAGACTTGACACCAGCTCTGAGATTAGAGGCTGTTTGCTTGATAGATTTAACGATAACCTCTCATCTGAATACCCCAAAACTTTCAGCTTAAGTCAATAGGAAGCCTGCTTAACTTAGTAGGAAGCTTCCAGTTGCAACATGATTTTCACTGGCTCTGGCACCAGCTTTATTTCCTACCCATTTGGTTGGTAGTCACAGTCTGGGTTTTGTTCTCTGGAGAGTCAAGAGCAGCCATCAGTGCAGTTGAACTCACTCCCTGAAGAATCAGCGTTGCAGCAGAAGCCACTTCCTTGTTGTCCAGTGTCTTGAGGGAGATGTTTGCAATGGCTTTGTCAAAGGATGCCACCGTATTCTACAAGGTTAAATGATTAGAGGTTGCCTCACGGCCTCTATAAACATGGGTATTGCTATGTGGCTGCTTACTCCACAGGTAAGAGCCTTCCCCTGGGGACAGCACATCCGTATTCCTGGCAATGAGATTCCATGGACATGGAGCAAGAACTTTACAGCTGGTCTTATTTATTGCAATGGGGCCCAGGTGGAGAACTATGCTATTGCAACTACAGTTTTTGGCTATGCTCTAATTATTATCACCAGTTATTGTTTGTAGGTTAGTAGATGTCAAGAACCCCTATTTATAAACTAGGACTCCATTATCCTCAGTGCTGTGCGAGTGCAGAATGGAAAGATGGCCTCAAACTGTCTTGAGTTTCCATTGCAACCATCGCCATAGTATCTCTGTGTGATCTATGGTACTTGTGGCAGGCCAGCAGGGGGCACTCCTACGCTAAGCCACCCGCCTCATTGTGCTCAACCAAAAACCATGCTTTGGGTGCCTCACCTGGGGTGCCTACATCTGGCCAGCCTCCTTCCTGCACCACACCCGCAAGCCTGGGGTAACCGCTGCCACCACCCAGGCCTGGGTCTTTGTTAGGGCTCAGTGCAGCTCAGAGTACACAGACCCTGCAGACCTTGGGGGTGCTTAGCCCACTGTGGAATTCTGAGGTGCTTCTTTTTAGCCTGAAGCATTAACAAGAAGCCCCCTGTGTGAGAGGAAAGTAAGAAGACGTGCCCACTTTAGCCAGCTGATCAAAGGGGGCTTCAAAGTCTAGTCCTACCCTCATAAGCATTCATAGCAAAGCATGCTATAACAGATCGTTTTATTGATCAAAGAGGGAGAGAGTGAGGAAGGAATACAAAACAATGGAAAATTGATAGAAAACCCACTTGAACAAATCAGAATGGCCTTGTAGGCCCATTTGATATGCTTCTAGTTCACTGAATCTTAAGTTACTGGCTAAATTTCAGCTAAGTTACATGTTCATCCAGAGACTGATAGAGCTCTGGAGGCCTTTTTGCTTGCTTCAGTGTCCCAAAATGGAGTGCCTCCAAAATGGAGTGACCCTCTTTTAAAACATTTTGTGACCTCATCACTATGTCCCAACCAGAAGCAGGGGCTATGTGATGCAGACCAATCCTTTTAACAGTCATCAGCATCCTCAGGTGGGGTGGGGGGCAGGGTCATACAGGTATCTTGGTGGGAGATACCTGTATGACCCTGCTCCCTATCGAATTTTCACAGCCTAGTCACCTAGCTTGACCTTCGGGATCCAGCAGCTAGAGTTCGAAACAGAGGGGGCTGGGCAGACTCAGAACAGGGAGGCAGATGAAAAGGGCAATTTCTTCACTGTACTCATCCAGTAATCTATGGTACTCATCCTGGGGCAGAGGAAGGGTGGTGTTGTGGCTGAGATATTAATTTAAAACTTGGGACATGGGGATCAAGGTCTTTCTCTACCACAGATGTCCTGTATGGCCTTGGACAAGTCATTTGGACACAGGTTTTTTAAAGGGATTTGGGTGCCCAATGCACATTAATTTCCAAGATTATAAGGTGCTTCTGTATGCTTAAATATCTGATCCCTCTGTAAGAGGGAATAACATACTTTTCAGAGCTGGAGTCAAGTCTGGATTTAGATCCTCATCTGCCTTTGCTCTATGTAATCTATGGTACTCATCCAGTCCCTGTTACTGAGCCTGTCAACCCCAGGCACAATAGGACAATGCAAATATATAAACACATATGTGCATGCACACACACAAACACATGCACAAAGCATCTCCTTCCAGTATGGGACAGTTGGATCTAAATCCAGATTGACTCCAGCTCTGAAATTCATGTTATTCCCCTATTTTACAGAGGGATCAGATTTCGAAGCATACAGAAGCACCTTATACTCTTGGAAATTAATGTGAATAGGGCACGTAAATCCTTTTAAAAATCTGTGCCCAAATGACTTGTCCAGGGCTACACAGGACATCAGTGGTAGAGAAAGACCTTGAACTCCATGTCCCAAGTTTTAAATTAATATCTCAGCCACAACACCAGACTTTCTCTGCACCAGATCCATCTTCCTAATCACTAAAACTAAGTTTTCCAGGGGGAATCTCCTAGGGCTGATGTTTTCACTCTACACAGGCTCTGAATGGATCAGACTCAGGACACTGTTGCAGCCCAGGCAAAGACAGGAGTGCCCCAGTACTGAAGAATCTAGCTCCCAGTCTTAGCTTGATGAAAGGTTTTTGAACCCAAAAGCTTGCATAATTGTTTTCCAACTATTTAAGTTGGTCTAATAAAAGATATCAGATTCACCCAAAGAACCTTGTCTGCCTAGCTCCCAGTCAAACATGTCTGACCTTCAGGGAAGATGTCGAGCTGGCATTCCCACAGGAAGACTTAAAGATCTCCAAGGTGGAGTGCATCAGAGAGCAGAACGCGCTGTCTTTCATACTACCTTGCACACTCTAGAAAATAATTCAAAGACAAACAAGTCTAGTGTTAGGATTCAGCTAATGAATGAAAGACCAATTGTACCCAACAGGTAAAATCCTAAGCTTATGCATATCAGTAGACCTCCAAGAAACTATCTTGAGTGATACCAGCTCAGGATCTGGCATAAAGAACTTTATGTAAGAACTATGGTGCATCTCTAGGCTTTCTATCATCCCTTGCTGCTTCTCTCTACAGAGTAAACTCCTTGCAATTATGACCAGTGCTTTCCTTTGGCATTTGGAATAGAGGATACTAATATGTCACTCATGTAGCACTTTTTATCAAGGGAGCCCCCTGGGCAAGCTAATCTAGTTCCATGTGTTCGTAGGCAACCACTTACCCAAGGAACTCCCCAAACTACTATTTCTAACAGTCCCAAGCAACAGCAAGTCACAACACCCAGAAGATTGAAAAGACTCTATAGCATGTGGCAGATAAACAAAGTTCAAAGCACTTTAGAAAGGAGGGTGGCATCATTAGCTCCATTTTGCAGATGGAGAAACTGAGGCGCACAGGTCCCATGATGCCCATCAAGTGACAGGTCACACTTGGCTAAGGTCACCCATCAAACCAGCAGCAAAATGAGGAGTGTACTGAATGCACATTTCCTGCGTCCCAGTCCAGTGCACCAGTATCCACAGGTCATACTGGCATAGATAAAGTTAAGTGTGGACTTAACAATGTTTTCCACATCCACAAAACAGCATGAAGCATAAGCATGATGTGACTTACATTTTCTGATCCATTCAAACACTTCTTTACGTATTCCTCGTTTTTTCCTGAATCTTGTTGGCAGTGAAAGGGGATTTCTGTGCAGGGCAGAAAACATTGTTACCATTTGGCCTCATATAATCATAAAGCATTTAAAAAAAAAAAGACAACTCCAATTTGTTCACAGAATCATGTTGCTGAAACCACAGAGCCAAGTGTTGGACATGCCTGTCTAAAAGATGCAAAGCCCCAGTGTTAGTACTCTGCAAAGGGATGGACCCAGCTATGCAGCTTCTCCAGCACTCCCAGGGGTGCTGGTCTCAAGCGTGCCCAGCCTACCTGCTCCTGCTCTGCTTGGCCAGACCCAGAAAGGAGTCAGCGAAGCTGGACTGCTCTGGAGATCTTTGTCTCTGGTGTGCTTGAGACCAGTGGCGGGGGGCGCCCTCAGCACAGGTTCCCGACCCCCATCCCAGGTCTGGCACGCAAGGAGCTGCAACAGGTGGATGTGAGTGCTTGAGACCAGCACTCCTGGGAGCACAATGGAAGCTGTATGGTTTGCTCCTGGGAAACTTTTAAATGAAAGATGCTGCAGAAAGGCAGAGCATCTACCCAGCTCATGGGGGTCAGGTTGAGTTTAAACAAATAGTCCTGGATAATCTGCCCCTGTAGACACTACAAGCTTGGAGCAGGGAATCCCAGAGAAACTTACTTTTTGAAGGTGTGGGGGGTGTTCCCCCTCTACTTTCTACCCATTACTTACCTTAACCCCCATGTCTCAGGGAAAAGAAGAGGGGGTAGAAATGGGGAGTCAGGAAAGTATCTGAGTGAAGCAAGGAAAATCTCTCCAAGCTGCAAATGGAATTATTTGATTTTTAAAAAATGTCAAAGTAAAAGCTGCATTTCATAGATTTCGTAGATACTAGAGGCTGGAAGGGACCTCGCGAGATCATTGAGTCCAGCCCCCCTGTCATAGGGAAAGGGAAAAGGAGAAAACCATGTCAGTGTGAATGTTTTGCCTATAGAAAAGAAGTGATCAAGTATCAAAGTAATAGGATTCTGTTAAAACTTCTTTCTCTATGGAAAAAAAAAACCATGGTGGAAATGCTGCAACCAGCTCTGACTAAGTAATTCTTTGGTTAAAGCCCCTTGAACAGCACAGGATCAGAGGACAGAATCCAGTTTACAAGGGCCACCTTAACGGTGGCATTTTCAGAGTTCAGAGTGTTTCTTTTTGCAAACTCTGGCTCCCACAGGTGTCCTGGGCCTGTGTAGTAGCCCTCTGTCATGGTAGAGGGCAGCAGTGTTGTTCTTAGAGCTGCTCAGAAATTTTCTGGATAAACAAGGTTCACGGGAAAAACCTCATGTCGTTAAGCCCAAAATGTTTCTTTTGAAACATCTCAGGTGCAAGGAACTTTTGCCAAATCCAAGATAGGATCCCAACAATGTCTCTGGTTCCACAGCAGTCCAACTAAGGAGTCTACTATAGAGCTAGAAACTCTGGAGGTACAGTGACCCTGGATCCAGGGAGGTCTGCCAAGTAGATTTGCCCTTGACCTGGAGAGAGCTCCAGGCTCTTGGTGGGAGGTAGTCCTACCAGTGACACTATCCTGGAGCTGGCAGTACTCCATTCTGGCATCCTCTGCCCTGGAGCACATCACCTGATGGTTCTGCTTGAGACCTGGAGATACTGAAAGCAGATGGACCCCAACCCCGGCCAGTTGGAGGCCATGGAGAGCTCCAGGTGTGTGGTCTCAGAGCATTTCACCTGGTGAGTCAGCACCAAAGCTGGGGAATCTTGAGGCATGGAGTCATCAGCTCATGAGCGTCCACTTTGCTGGTCTACCCTGAGGTGGAAAGCAGGTCTTTGGTGGTCTCTGGTGGTCTTCTGGGGAGCCAGAGACTCTGGAAGTCACTGATGGTGTCCCAGGCCCCCTCCTGGGAGTGCTGGCCTATGTGTAGGAAGCCTGGAGGCTCTGGGTCCCTAGTTCCAGGGCAGTCACTTGAACTGGGGACACCAGAAACATCTCTGTCCCTTGCTGTTGTCCTTCTAAGGGGTCAGAAGGCAGTTGCTTTGGGGCAACCTGACAGGCAGGCAGGTCTGTCTGGAGCCAGCAGTAATGGAAGTGCAGGAGCCTGAAGCCCCCCATCCCTGGCTTCAGGGAAGTCGCTGGCTTGCCTTCTCCAGCTTTAGGGACCTTGAAAAGGCCCTGCTTCTCCACCTCCACAGCAGTCCCCTGACACATCTGCCTTGCAACTTGGGACCCTGGAAGCTCAAGGCATGCCATATGGCAGTAGCTCCCCAAGTAAGGTCCCAGCTCAGAGGCAGTCTATCTGGCAAGTCTGTCCAAGAGCTGGGAAATGTAGGTGCCTAGGGCCATCCACATGTTATATCATTTCACAATCTGGGAATACTTGAAACATAGGGGCCCTAGTTTCTGCTTGATTTCTATCCCAGAGCTGTTGATACTAGAGGCATGGGTCTTGGGGCAGTCCTCCCTGTGAGTCTGCCCAGGGCATACAATGTTTTATTGGGAAAACAGCCAGGTGCAGCCATCCCGCAGTAGCATGCAGATGTTCCAGTTCTGCGCTCCAAGTACTTGGGGTGGCTTAGCTTAGTCTGCTGTAGAAGAAAATCCACACAGGGAGTTAGAGTAAAATCACTATTGCACTTTAGCATTTCACCAGAGCTTATTTCGTAAGAGCTTCCCTGAATATACATCCACTGAGCTTCTCCTAAGAGCCCTTATCGGAGACCAGCAGACATATGTGCAATAAAGAGGAAGACACCACAGGCAGAGAGCCAGCAACAAGCCTCTAAATATTAATAGCCAAGCTATTTCTGGCCCTGCCGCATGAAAGCTCAGAAGCAAAGAAGTGCAGATTGCACACAGGGTAAAAACATTCCCAGCTGCTTTGGGACGGGGGACGGAAATAGCAGATTAACATTTGTGAGGCTTTATGAGACAGTCTTTCCCTCCATCATGCTTTATCTTCACTCCCCTAGTCTCTCTCTATGTCTACACCATCACTTGATCCCATATTCTGGGCTATCTTTGTATACAAGTATGTCTGAACTGCAGTCACCAAGCTAGCTTTAAATTTGGGGACTGCTAGCCATAACCCATAGCAGCCAAGAGCTCCCTGTAGGCTAACCTCCCACATATTTCCTGAGCCCCCATGGGACTAAGGGGTTGCAGATGCTGAACTCTTTGCTCCTTTGGTGGCTTTGTGGCTATGTTGCTAGCAGCGTTTCCACTAGCCAGATCAAAACTTGCTGAGCACACCTACGGTACAGTGCAATTCCTGCAGTGAAGACATACTCATCATCTCTCTGTTGTCTGAGCATTGATACTGAAGTCATTCATGCAGTATCTGAGAATCAGTTTTGCCCCTCCAGTGTGATCATTCTTCTCTTTCCATAAAAAAAAATAAATAAAACCAAATCATTCACTGAACACCCACAAGATTTAGACTGTCAAGTTACTTTTGACTGATTCTCATGAAAAAACTAACCTCAGCATGCTCAGAAGTGTAGCCTTCTTCCCAGCCTCCTGGGACAGTGGCTGGACCCTTCGAAGTAACTGTGCAGCATATACAATTAACTCATATTTCTCTTCAAATTTCCAATACAAAATGGCTCACAGATCTCTTTTGGCAGCTTAGTGCACACATACACACACATACCACTCATACATGTGCACACACACACAGTTTTGTGACAAGGAAGATGAAGGTATTTCTACACTGCATAGAAAGCTGATTGCACAGGCAGTCACCTCCACATTCATTTCAATCTACTTTGAACAGCGAACCTTACCAACGAGGATGCAGCACCTAGAAACCTGGATACATGATTATTACCTTACGTACAGTCTCTCTCTCTCAGACAGACCCACCCACACATACACCATCATTTACACCTCAAAATTGATCATTCAAAGTTAGCAGATAGGCAAGTGCTCCTGTCATGCCACAAAAACATCAAAGTAAAAGAGCAATTAAAAAGAAAAAGCCATTTAAAAAATTCAGTTGTTAGCATGTGTGGTCCTCGGAGCATCAAGGTCAGGACTGCAGTTCAGGGGAACAAGGCGATGTTGTCTCTGGCCGATATGTCATGCTGTCTGTTGCAATAGCCTGTGATGTCCTGGACCCTTGGTTGGCCTATGGTGTCTTGATCTCATCTCACTGAACAGGCCCCAGGACAGCAGAAGTATTCATTTTCCTGATGATAAGGTTGCAAAGCAGCTTGCTTCACCCCAGGGCATGTCTCCAGAGACCTTTCAAGGAAATCACAGGGGTTTGCACCATAATACTCTGGTCCAGTCAGGTTTGAGGGGCGGGACATGCACTTAGGTCATCTTAAGAGTTCCCCAAAGTTCTCTCTGCAATGGTCAGTTCTGGTATCAGAGGCTTCTTTGAAAATCTGCAATAGGTGTATTCCAAGAATAAGAAAAAGCAGAATCAAAAACAGGTGGCTGTGAAAAAGATATTGAACTTTTCCCTGCAGGGGGAACTAATCACACTTCTAGTCCATTTACCCACATTTCATTTCTTCGGCTTCTTTACAAGTATTGGTATATAGCCTCAGGGACACTGACTGGTACCAACTGGACAAACAGCAGTATTGTACAAAGCCAGTATTGTACAGTATCGTCTCCTGGTGCATTATTTTCTGTTACCATTTCTGGGCTAGGAAGGCAGGTAGCTTTCCCTTTTTTTTGCCACGTTTTCCCCCCTGGTTTGATGTTGTGCCTGATGTGTTTCAGCAACTGTTATTGCTTACACAAGTAAACCTTGGGGCACAGATAACCGGAGGGCCAACTAGGAGTCCATCTTGTATACAGAATATTTCTTAATGACAGCTTTACAGTCAGTCACCAAAAACTCATAGATGTTGCAGTGGAGCATTTCATTAGGTGGGCAAGTTTAATTATTTGAGCTAAGAGCTGAGAATCGGCCCTCACTTTCACATGGCTTTCCTAGCCTTTCTAATCAGCAAGCCAGCAAAATAGATTTATGTGTAACTCTTTGATAGGTTGCTTTTGCTTCTTCTGTCCTTTTTGCTCAGCCGTCTGATAACGGTGAAAGAGGCAGAACT